CCAATGATACAGAATATGAAGAACGCCCAAACACTTGGCAATCTAATGCATACGCAGGGATTATTTACGCTCCCATCTACAAATCAGATAGCCTCGTGCTTCGATGCTCTTTCTATTAACTTATATATATATATATATATTTTAATTTGCCTCTTAACTTCTGTCGGACTAGTAATGCATTCAATTTTACAATATAACTTAGATATATCGAATGACGTTTAAAAGAGTAAAGTAAAGAAAAATTGCTAAAAAACACAATTATTTTCTAATATTGACATACTGCACACTTTTAAAATCATTACTTTTGAATGACCTAAATGATGTTACTAAAGTTTAGGTGTGGTGAGAATACTTTAGCTTATTTTTACACTTAAACAAAAACACCTGTTGTGTTTGTTTGATCGTGGTACAGATTATTTTTAAAGCAATATTTTCCTTGATTAAATCTCATGTTTAGGTATGTTGAAAAAATAAAAACCCATAAAAACACCCTTTTTTAACATTTTGATTACAATAGAGACATCTGGCTACATTGTGTTTTTTTCTAATTGAAGAGTTTTCAAGCGTCTAGAGTTATATACTAGTATACCGTGAAAAATGCCTTCAAGAGGTTGTCCACGGAATACCTGTCGGAAAGGACGCCTTTTTAAAATAAAAGTCCAGTGGTTTCAGGAAAAGTGCCGTCCATAGGTTGTAAATAGGGTACTTGTAAATGGGCTGGGAGGATGGAGGGGGTTAACCTACCTTTTCGGGGCAGGGCATTTGTCAGAAAAAGTGGCTTCGAAAGGTTGTCCAATGAGTACCAGACCAAAGGAGAGTGATGAAAATGCTTTGTCCAAAGGGATTATTTTGCAGGAAAATGGCCTATAATGATGATATTAATGATGATTAGGAAAGTATGTTGACAATTGATCTGCTGATGATGCTGAAATCCTGATGCTGCTTCTCATAATTCTTAATTATTGTCAAATATCAAGCTGATAGTAAAGATGAACAAGTACACTGATAGTAATGATGATGATGTTGTTGATGATGATGATTATAAGCAGATTATATTGATTGCATTGATGATGGTGATGATGCAAGTGATGATTATAGTGAGGTGAGGACTGTGAAGAGTAAAAAGAAGCATGTTGATTGCTTTGCTGAGGATGATAATGATGATATGATAAAATAAAATGTTTTTGAAAAAAGGTACAATCAAAAATCTGTTGGAAAGTAAATGATCTGAAAACAAATTTTCCAAAATTGTAAAATATAATGATTGCTGTACTATTGTATACTTACGATATATTTGATGTGAAGCTTTCCTTTTAATAAAATCTATACATGGGATCTTGGTTTGGGTAAATTACTACCTGACATCTCCTTTTTACAAATAAAACTATGCTAGGTGAATATATGTGTGTCACAAATTTAAGCGATTGGGCATTTTAAAACGCAGTTTAACTTCATATAGGAACATTCATATTGTATTTATCTACTGATAATAACAAATAAGGAAAAAGGTATATTTACTAATGATCATGTTCATCAATTTTAATTTCAATGGTATAATAAACTTAATTAGGAATTAATTAACCCCGGTAAATGGTACGCTGTTGAAATGAAATCTTCTATATCAAATGTCAATAGAGGTGATAATCTTCAATTACTTTTTTACATATTGGTCAGAACAAAAACGCAAAATTAGGAGAGAAACTTATTGAAATTCTGAGGTTTATCTTCTGTAATTCATTTGCAATTTTACTCAATTAAAGATTTCATTCTTTCTTTCTTTCTGTTTACTATTAATGGGAAAATATATGTAAGCGGCCTAATAGCTCAGTCGAGAGAGCAGAAGAATAGTATTCCGAGCGTCCCAGGTTGCGACTCCCTGTCAGGCTGCAGATTTTTCTCACCCTTTGACATGAACTTATGTTCAAAGTGAGCATCAATGAAAGAAGCAGTCAATCATTTATATGTTCAGAGTTATATGTTTTAGCATAAAGTTTATAAAACCAGTTAAAATCTAGATTGGTGTGTTAATATGTACAAGGATTCAGCTGTTTAACTGTGGCTGAATGATTCAAATTTACCGAAACATTCGTGACGGTTTAAACAAGAAAAAATCAAAATAACGAATGGACAAATTTATAATTATAATAATATCATGCATATTAATAGTAAATTCTGTTCAAATTATTTTGAAATTCTAGTGTAATTATGTTTCTTCTTAAGTCTATTAATTTCAATGACTTTGATTAGATAAAAATCTGAGTTTTCTGCTTTTCTTAAATCCGAAATAATTGTTCTCTGCTTAAGATTTATACGAATTTTCAAAGAGTTTTTTTGTAAACAAAGTCACAGGGAAGTTTAAAAAACATGAATAGACCGTGGACATGGTTTTTGTTTAATCAAAATATACATTAATACGTGTTTCGACTTTTTTCAAGCCTTGAAAATGTGTCAAAACCTTTTTGTGTTGCCGCTACATTTCAAGAACTTGTTCTTTAAATGCTGGTCAAAAATAGTATGTTTCAATATCAATGCGAAAATAATGTGACATCCAATTATTACTTTAAAAATCAATAGTTAACTCACATTGTTCGTGTGTACAATTTATTATCGTAGATAAGGACGAGTTTGATTAGGTAGTAAACAATAAGCCAATGACTATATTGCCATATGGATGGCTCCTTGTATCTAAAAGCAATATCTCTAATAACTATTTACAAGTTCTTTTCATTGTCATTTCCTTCTTATGTCTTACTTAATTATTACAGCTATTCATAGTTTTTTTAGCTTTTATAAGTTCTAATTTAGTTTTACATAGTATATCATCAAAATCTATATAATCCCAATAATATGTATTGCAATAAGGTTAACAAGTATCGCAATATATCGTAATTCGGTTTCACGGTACCCCTTCTATTTGTCAGTCGTACAAATGCATTAAAATCATGGTAACTATGTAGATAGAACAATGCATACTTTATGGCCCTTCCTGGCCGTATCTTATGCATGTTTAAAATTAGTACAAAACTGTTTATGTATAACATTAAGTAATTTGAAAAGATAATAGTGTTAATATATTATTTAAGGGGAATGAAACGTATTTATCAATACTACTCAAGTTTTTGAATTAATTTGAAATTTTAAGTACATGTAGCAAGTAAACTTAACGAGTTTTAGGAAAGGATTTTTTTGTCATTCTTTTGTTATGCTGTAAAAAACTTACTAACTTGACTTCTTACAAATATTCATCCTTTTTTCTCTTCCTTGATATTTCAAGGTTTTTATCACAACAAACAAAAGGTCAACATATCGTTTAATCTTTGATTATCTCGTTAGTTATGAATAACAAAAACAGTTTTAAAGTTGCCTGTATCTAGTTGATCTATTTTGACCTGCCATATCTGTTTAACAAATACAAAGATTGGCGAAACCATAATTTTTTAAAAAGTTTTAGATACAATATAAAGGTTGCATATTTTCTTTAACCTCGGCTTTTTCCTTTTTTAAAATAGCATGTCGACATGATGAGACAGATGAGTGTATAACTAAAACTTTTAAAGACACCAGGAAGTTTTGCAAATTGTCAAAAATTTCTTCTTGAAATATGATGTCGTGCAAAAATGTACTGTTCTATGAGAAAAAAACCCCAGTTTTACAAGGTCTTGCTGAGATGAAAAAAAACTAGAAACTAAGTTTTTCTTGTATCACTATATTTAATAATTATTTTCTAAAGATTCACTGATGCCATTTGCTTTTTTATTTCAGAATTTAAAGTGTTCATAAAAAGCTAAAATTTCCCCACATGTATCGTTTGGAACTGTACAATTAATTTGTTACACATCTTATCTGTTTGCTGTTTTAGAACACAACTTTAAACAGATTTTAAAATTTTCAGAAGAATAGGAATATCTGTCACATGCTGCTGATCGGGACATCTATCGGCGGGTTTCTGATGGACGGATATTCCGATCCGAACATATTGCACCAGTAACTATTTTCTTACACAGCGTTTGAAATTAAAACTTCATTCAGAACGGCGAAATAAGTCATCCTAAGCATGCCACGATGTAGCACAAGACTCCTCTGGCAACCCCATACTAGATGAAATTTCTGGAATGGGTAAAACTAACGAGACAGCAGTCGATTTGCAAAAAAAAAATGTTTGAGATAATTGGCCAACTATAGCTCTTTGATAACAAAAAAGCTCGCCCTAAATAACAAGCTTTTGAGAGGTAAAAGTAGGAGCATTTCCGAAGCATATTGACCCTTTAAGTAGTTTTGCAGAAAAATAGCATCAAAATCAAGAATTCTAATAAAAATATGTAAATTTTCAACCTTAAGTTTAATACATGTAGTTGCTTGTATAATAATCGTTAATAATTGCCAAAATTTGGCTAAAAGCAAGATGGCTGGGAAATTACTAATGTTTTTTAAGACCCTCGCGGGGGGTAAAGCTTAACTTCATTTTTGTCTCTAGTCACTTAGAATCTTGCTGACAGCAAGGCAAATATATTTTCCTGATGATGTCCGAAACTGACGTGCGAAAATTACGGTAAGCACTCATAAAAGGCTAAAACAGACACACAATATTTTTATTCTCATAAGCAATAAAGTAAAGCATGTGACATACTAAACGTTTATTTGTTCTGTAGTTTTGTCGTCTGAATGTTAAATATCGATATTTTACATGTTGTATAATAACGAAAGAAAACTTTTAGTCATAATTTTTCCCATGTTATGAAGCGACATTTTATCTTGCTCTGAGAGGACAACGATCTTCTGTACAGATATCTTATGAACAATAATTTATTTCAAAAAGCATTCTTCATCTCAAGATAATTTTGTCGGAACGAAAGAATTTTACAGAAGTCACGACCCTTATTGTTCATTGAAATATTTGTATACGAACAATATAAAACTATTGTTGATAAGTCCAATGTTATTTACTACCTAATTGTTTTAACAATCGTATTGTTGAAGCTGAAAACGCCCATTTGAAAGAGTAAATGTTATCAGAGTCTCATAAGGAAGATTTATGTATCTACATTGTATATATAAACAACCGAACTTTAGTTAATAAGTTTATATTATTACGTCTTTTTACTTAGTTGTTACCCAGTTCATTCGATTAACAGTTTATCAAAGTTTTAAAAGTTTTTTTTGGACTAAAATTAACAAAGTATACAATGGCAATGAACACATGCTTCATATTTGTATCGCTAGTTTGTGTGTTTACGATGGTAAACTGTAGATTCGTACTGTACGACTCAGACAACACTGATACAATCGTGGACAATGGATCACAATTTGCTGCTGTTATGAAGATGTTGGCAACTTTATTTTCTAGACTGAATGCTTTAGATGGTAAAGGTAAAATATTATTTTCTTAAAAATGAAAAGTACGATTTTAACATGTAGCAAACTTGAAATATTTGATAAAATAATTATTGACTCACAAAAATTCCTTTTTAGTAATAAGATAAATATAACCATTTAACTGATGTAATTGATGACCTTGTCAGATCTTAAAAAATGCAAATGTTTTATACAACGTATATAGTCTGTGTAATGTTTGTTAAACTGCCTTTATTCTTTTACTGTTTTAAATTTGACAGTAGTTATTCTATCATAATCCAATGTTTTAAAATCAAGTGGCGATCGGCATAAATACAATAGCATACACAAAAAATCATATGAAGTATTTAAAAAAAATATTTTAACATAGTTATGTTGAAGTACATAAATATAAAAAAAACCCAACAAAATCACTTTTTACAGGCAAAATCACAGGGACCAATGTTGATTTTTTTTGTCTTTACTGAGATACTATTAATTATTTTCCAGGAAACATGACATTAGAGATGCCAAGAAATATGAAATGTTTGGACGGCTGGGTCACATTTAAAGACTCGTGTTATTTGTTTGACACAAAAACTCTCGATTTTCAATCAGCTGAGGTACCTTGAGCTACTACTTTTCTCTAAGTATTACATTTGGTATTGGTTATATGTGGATGGTTCAAATATCAATCAGTAAATTGAAATATGTCACAGGGTCATTTTGTCTTTGCTAGAATGCTCTGTAATTCATACCCATACTCTATATCATTCCCCTAACGTCTCTTTTTCAATAATTCATATCATTTTTCAACTTCATACTAATAACTTCATTTGACCTGTAACAAGTTGACGGGCCTCATTCACTTCATTTTTGAATTCGGTCACGCTAACCTTTACGCATGCGCACAAGAAATGAGAACTTTTAGCGAGAGCTGTTGTTTTTCATTGACTCCGTATTTCTATCTTATTGTGTGCCAACAATATATTTACAGGTATATTTGAGGTTATAAAACATTGTAAACATGAATTACAATGATATGTGTATGTATTTCGCTTGGAATTATCAATAGCACAAGAAATGAGAACTTTTAGCGAGAGCTGTTGTTTTTCATTGACTCCGTATTTCTATTTTATTGTGTGCCAACAATATATTTACAGGTTCCTCTTTGAACGCCCTATCCTCCCGAGTGAGAACTCACGTATATCCGTGACATATACATTATTGAATTATTTTAGTAATTGATGTTTACATATATTATTGTAATATTCGTTATAAATATTGAAGGATATATGAATCCAAACCTTTAAAAATGAGACAAAATATTTATCATTATTTACTATTCTGCTTTTTAAAACAATTTATGATATGGGTTTTAAAATAGAGGAGCCAAGTCTAGAAATATATATAATAATAGAAATCACATAATACCATTTTAAGTTGGTGTCTTTTATTTCTTGATTGCCTTATCAACTTTGTGTTGTCTTGAAATTTACCAAACGTTTTGCCAGGATAATAGTATGGCAAGCTTAAGTATCAATAAACAAACGAAAATACAAAAGCAAACATGATTGACACGGATATCTTAGCATTTAAATTGTTACAGTAAGAGGTTAACTTTTTGCTAAATGACAACGTAGTTGCACCCTATTTCAGATTATATTTCAATGTCAAAAGGCAAAAAATGATTTTAACGTGTGTGCTGTTTAGTTTTATATATAGTTATATGATATGTATAATTTTGCGTGTATTTTGATATTTGTGGTATTTCAGAAGGAATGTGGCAAATTTGAGGCTCATGTAGTACGTTTAGAGACACAAGAAGAAAATACATTTCTGAAATCATTCATGGCCAACCATTTCAAAGTTGAGATAAAGATTAAAGTTTTCCTTCTTACTGTGAAATATTATTAAAAGAAATGATATAATTTAAAACGAAACAACAGAATTATGCTAATGACATTTTATTATTACATACTATAAATTTAAGACACAGCTTACTGGATTGGTATGACAGATGTAGAAACAGAAGGATTGTGGAAAATATCAGGTACAAAAAGAATTGTACCATTTACAGACTGGGAAGACGGTCTACCCAATAATCACGGCGGAAATGAAGATTGTGTTATATTTTATGGCCCGTCTTCTTACAGTTGGCTCGATGTGCCTTGTTCAGGGAAATTTCGAGCGTTTTGTGGGAAAGATAACAGGAGTCTTAAATAGATATATGAAATGGTATTAGAAAGAAAATTTGATGCTTCTTTAGATTTATGTATTTTCTTACAACCAACACGCTTAGATGTTTGAATATTTTTTAAAACTGGAAATGTATATAAATTATTTAATTAGGTTTTGACTAAATCATTTATGTAAGACTGTTCTTTTTCTTCTGATTTGAAAAAAACCCCATTGATTTACAAAGAAAATGTTAAATTTAATATGTGTTTTAATTTAAAAATAAACTATTTAGAAAACTAACTTAAAACTGTTCTTATTCATGAATATAACAAGTATAGGTTTATTACCTTTTTAACCCGAAAAGCATGGAATCAAACACGGATTTTATAACATTATATTTGTTATTTATTTTATTATCATTATTAGAACAAATTCTGTAATCATTAAAAAAAATTCAACAAAATGTTACTGTTACAAATTGAACCAAGAGTAAGAATAACTTTGCACGTTATAAGTGTACCTAAGAAGTTAATTTTCTTTAATTCTTAAAGCAAATGATGATATCAACCACTCATAAACATACAATAAGCTGTGTTCCATAATTTCATCTAGAAGAAAAACACAAGCTCATTTATACGGTTACGGTCAGTGAAATCTGATCCTATCCTGAATATTGATCACATGGTTTTGATCATGGCCATTTGCTATGATAACCTTCCTTTGTCTATCACAACTGTTACACTTCACGGATTAAATTAAAAAAAAAATCCTTTGATGCATGCTTTAATTGTCTGCTTCTTCCATTTGAAACAGACATGTAATTTTCCTAAGCAATAACTTCCGCTGAAAACGGATGTTTAATTTTGGACTATTCAAACAAGGTATTGAAGCCTCGAAAAGCAGACTGAAGGGTGGAAAAAAACTTAAGTTTCTGAGTGTCATTGTCACTCTGGTGATTCCCTAAGAATCCCCCTTCGTGGTGAACTTCGAAGAAAAGAGATTAAATCGTAGAAACAAAATGGTAGCCATTTTTTTAGGAAAAAACGTGACCAGATTTTATACTGATAAAAAGTACTGTTACCCTGTAACAGTACAAATTTCTTAGTCACGTGATACACTTGCTTTAAATGTAAGAATTACTCCCGATGACCTTTGGGAATTTAATATTACAAAAAAGTGAGGGGTTATAAACTAAGATGACGACTGTGTTAGAAAATATCTTTTGCAATTTAGTAGTTCATTTTTATCGATTGTTCCGTAGAAACGTTAACTTAACAGAAATTAAATCAACTTAATGCTGTCAATTTCGTAAGCTTAAAATGAATTATGGTTTCCTCTATGAAAGTCTTAAGGTATCAAACGAGTTGTTAAGGAGATTTCTTGGCATAAAGTTTTCATACTATTTGTTTGGGACGTTTAATGATTGGAAATCGATAAACGGTAATGTTATTCATAATTTTGGGTTATTACAGCTGAACATATTGCACACATACATTTGAATATACGTATAACGTGATTGTCTGCAGTATAACTATGCCCAGTCATTAGAAAACTTAAGTCACAGAAAAAGCTGAAAAAAAACACAACAAAATTGTTGTCAGTTGTGAAGCGCGGAAAAAACATTCACATGCACACAAGATGTAGACAGACTTGAAACGACCTCGTAACCAAAGTAATTTAAATAAAAACTCACCATTGTAGCGAAATCTTTAAAATCATATAAAAAAACTAATGATATCTTAAAAGAAAAAAATGTCATAAAGAACAAATCGCAACAATTATTTTTAAGTGCACGTATAATTAACAGTCTAACGAATGGACATTGAATTTGAGCCTTTTTTTATTACATTGGGAAAATTCATTATACTACACCCAGTGAATATTATTCCGTTCACTACTATTTGAACCAGTGATATTACAGCTACCTAAGATCATATAGTACTCGTTAATAATTGCTTACCTTTAGCTGAAAAGCTGATGTTTAAACAGTGATTCATCGAAACTTGTTTTGAATGTCTTGCTGATTTTCTAGCCAGATTCCCATCCCATCTAGACATTGAAAATCGAATGTCAAGCTGAACGTTAAATGTTAAACAGAAACCGGGTATGACGAAAGAAAATATAACCAATCATGATAAGTCGAATGAACTAAAATTTGTGGTCTGCTAGGGTCTCATAGAATTGACTGTATACGAATATATCATGTAGTGTATTAATATTATTATAAAGGAAAGATAAAAAGGGTCCTTACATTTAATGCACTAGTTAACACAAACATAATCGTATTGAACTTTATCGTAAGTAGAAGACAGGTCAAAAACATCTAAGCAGTGTACACGTACCATCACATACATGAATTGATCGAGATACGGCCCCGTAGGCCTGACACTACTTATGGAGACTTTTTCATTTATTTCTATACAATGAATATATATCTTTTCACGTATAATTGTTAATAGTTCTATAGATTCAAGGTAAATGTTGTGTTTTTGTCGTTGTTGTTTTTCTTTTCAGGAAAAATATGGTTCCTACCTTTTCATTTTTATAAATATATTTGTTTGTTTTCGCTCAGGTTAACAATGGTTCCTACTTTTTCATATCTAAAACGGGTTTTTTAGTTGTAAAACATAGCTCGATTATCGTTCTTTTTTTCTGTTATTGTTGAGTTTCTTAAAGAAAAGTAAAATAAAAAATCTATCTTGAAAGTCCGATATAAACTTTAAGGGTCATGTATACTTGTTTTTTTTTTTATTTTTGCAATTTCATTAACATTTTAGCATGATGCATAACATAATGGTCACATTGGCCTATATAGTCACATTCAGAAAATTACTTGCATTCAAAATTAATAGGTCAACATTTCGCAACTTAAATACTATCTCAGGACATGACTGGTAATATGTTCTGGGACCGTACCTTAGTGTTTGAAAGGGAGGATTGAATCACATTCAGAAAATTACTTGCATTCAAAATTAATAGGTCAACATTTCGCAACTTAAATACTATCTCAGGACATGACTGATAATATGTTCTGGGACCGTACCTTAGTGATTGAAAGGGAGGATTGAATCCTATTAAACCACACATACACACACGCGCGCGCACGCACGCTCCCTCACAAACGCTTAATAAAATATTTTGTTACTTAAAAGGTTCTCTTTAATCTTTAAACGATGATCAGTGATAATAAAGCATTCATTTTCAGATGTTTGCGTGTCTATACAGGACGCAAACAACAATCATAATTCTAAATTTAGAATATCCTCTATTTTATCATAATATATGCGGAAGATAATCACAAAAAACTTATTTTTTTCCTGCTGGTGATGGTTTTAAAGGAACCCGACCTGACGATTTCCTCTGTACATTATTACGAATGAAATGATGCTTTACTCAACACTAAACTGTTAGAATATCTGTTTCTTTTCCCTAGTTTTTCTTCATTATTTCGAATTACATATTTACATGTATTAGATTGATTTATCTCCCTACCAATCTAATGCTTCATTATAGAATAATCCTGTATTGATATACATGTATTACTATTTATTTGATTTGTTACAACACCACTGAAACTGCATAGAAGTGTTATATTTATTTTTTATGGCTAATGCATTTATTGTTGTAAATGTTAAACACTACATGCTGTTATGTTCTATTCAAGTAATGTTACGAACTTATCTTTACAGAACATACTTCATTTAAGGAACCAATAATTTTTACATTTCAAAATATGCAAACATGTTTAAAATATGACATATATAGCAGAGCAGCAAGATATAAATACTAGATAAAATAATAAAACATTTACTGAGACAATTCTATTTCCTGGTCATTTACGTCTTTATAGAACCAAAATAGAACCATTTGACAAGGTAACTGGGAAGAAAAATTATATGGTTTTACCTTTAATAAGTTGAACTACCTTTAAGAACACCTATTACAATTTGCCGAAAATTGATAAACTTATAACTATAAGAACAACTACAACAGATCAGTTGTGAGAGCCACACATAACAGTCAAATAATTGCTATTCTTAAAATGAGAGCAATGAATTTAGGAATTATTCTGTTGTTTTTACAATTTGTTTCGATGACAGACGGACATATTATAATATATGGTACTGGTGGGGATTCTCCACGCCCAGAGTTAAAATGGGATGGTGAAAGTGGAAATTTAGAACGTGAGATTGGAGATGTAAAAGAGTCACTTGTCTCTGTCAACCAACAGATTGGTGACTTGAAGAACCGGGTTGAAGAATTACAGAATTCCGTCGAAGGTAGAAAAACTACACTGTTAAATTATATCTTAATAATGTTAATATATAAAATAAATAACTTTAAAGTGCTTTGCTGTTTCTTTTAATCTTAAACACCATTACGAGATTTTAAAGTAACTAACATGTCATAACAAATTAATAGAAATTAGTTGTATTTGTAAAACATATTATCATGCTTTTGAACAATTTTTGACCATAAATGTAATGTGATTTGTAGAGAGAACGAGAAAATGCCCAGATGCATGGATTCCACATAACGATTCCTGCTTCTTTTTTGATTCCATTCCTGTCAATTTCATTACGGCAGAGGTAGTCATTTTATCATATTTATTAACTTTGTTAACGAATAACATCAATATTTGGCACATTGTTGAATAGTTTTTTTATCTGTACAGACATTGGCGAATGAGTAGATAACTAAACGTGCCTAGCATGCTGTCCACGTTTTTTAAAATCCCACTGAAAGTCAAGCTGTATTTTAACATATTCAATAGTATATATATATATGCATATTAACGGAATATATGTATGAATAAATGTCATATTATGATATGTCTGAGTGGCTTAAACACTTGAAAGACACATAACATGAATGTTTCAATGTATAAACTTGTTTTAACTTAGTAAACACCATTCTCTTTATATCTTTTTACAGAGTTTCTGTAAAGGACATAACGCTCATCTGGTACATTTAGAAACAAGAGAAAAGAATGCATATCTGCAGAGTATAATACCGGAAATTTATAAAGATAAGAAAGGTAAAACAAAATTGTAAATTCTCAATCTCTTTATACATGTAATGATGTATAAACCTTCTCCTTATTTAAGATGAACAGTTTTGAGGATTGGTCGTTCTTCGAAACGCACAAAACAAACCCTTAAACTATTTGTTTCTTGATAAAGTATATTACTTTATTGCTGAGCGTGAACAACAATTTATATAACAAAAAAAAGCGTTTAAGGGTTTGTTTTTATAAGTTGTTGTTCACGCTCAGCAATAAAATAATATATTTTATCCAGAAACAGATAGTTTAAGGGTTTGTTTTGTGCGTTTCAAAGAACGGCCAATCCTCAAATGAATATATTATAAGACATATTCAGTGTTTGTGTTATAAAAACATCCAGCAAAAGCCTTATAGTAGTTTTCTATGATAACTTATATCCAGCTCAAATTTTTATTTATTTACTGATAATCAGTTCGATGTTTAAATTATAATATTCTAAACTACCTTAATTTTTATAGCATGAAAAAGTGTATCTGAAACTTATATGCTTTAATGCTTACTTGATAATTCATTGTTATCAGTGTTGTTATATTTTCTGGTCCTTCGGGATCATTGATGCCAACACTATAAAGTGTTGAGAATTGAGTACCGGTCAAGCCGGTGCTAGGGGGCGTGAGGGATGTTGCACTTATTCATTATCCCTCATGTACAGACTCAATCAAACCGAGTCTGCAATTCTTATGTTATTTTGTTGTGATTAATGCTTCCGAGGGATCACTTTGTTTCCAGAATTTTCATTCCCCCCTTCAGTTTAAGGATTGTCATACATTTGAGTTTTTAAAAAATGGCATTCATTTTGAAAGGCACAGTACGTTTTGGAAAGTATTTGATTGTATTTTGATATCTAACATTTTATATGATTTATATGAAGTTTGTGAATTTCCTATATTTTAGATTATATGGTTTGGATTGGTATGACTGATGCAGCGAAAGAAGGAGTATGGAAGACAACAGGGACAAAATTGTTCCCTTCTTCGACTGGTTGAGTGGGGAGCCACAGAACATTTCGAATGACCCAACGGGCCAAGACTGTGCTGCTTTTCAGTCTCATGGAAAGTACAAATGGGTTGACATAAATTGCAGCACAAGGACCGCTTTCGTAGCATGTGAAATGTCCAAACAAAATTGAGCCTATTCAATGACTTTTGTAACTTCTATCAATCATTTACTGCTTAATGAAGATATAACGTTTCTATAATTATATTAAACATATTTACCATTAGCTGAATAAAGCAATATATTTTTTCCGAAATATATGAGCAGTGTGGTTTTGTTTCTGATTTCCAAATATTGACTGGTCCTCCGGGTCTCATTGCCGCTTGTCCCTGTTGCTGGGTCGCTTGGGGGTTGCGTTCATTAAACTTCGCCCTTCCTTGTTGATCTTGTTTATCCTATTTTTTTAAAGAGATACATATTAGTAAATTATATGTAATTATCTTATCTTCACATCATGTATCCAAATAATGGCAGCGTGGAAATACTAATGGTCAACGAAATTATACCGTTGGAAGACATATCACTATATTTCCATCCGTCTGTTCTCATGTTCTGTTGCATGTACCTCTTAAAGTGGTTGAGCTAGATTCACCAAACTCGACAGGAATGATGATCAGAATGTAAAGTTAGGCACGTGGGGTTTGGCATGCGGATTAATCTAGTTTTGTCAAAGCTATTGCCATTGACATAGTATAAATTTTCAACTTGTGTCGCGTGTAGCACAAAAAGTATTTCACATTGAGTCATGAAAATTTACAGAAATGTTAGTAAGAATGTATAGTTGTGGACGTGAGGATTTGCTTGTGGATGCAGTCTTTGTGGAGTTATTGCCCTTAACTAAGTAAAATTTGCAATTTTTTAACTTGTGTCGTGCAAAGCACTAACTATTTGACCTAGAGACAATAATTCGACAGAATTATTAGTCAGCATATATTGTTGTGCATCTGGGGTTTTGCTTGTAAAGTTATTCTTTTCCTATAGAGTTATAGCCCTTTGTTAATTAAAATTAGCAATTTTTAACTTTTGTCGTGCGTAGCCTGAAAATGTTTTGACCTATATGAAATAACAATTGAAAACAAAAAATTAAAGTCATTGAAGTTGGAATATTTCTTGATAGTTTTGCTTTCCAAAGACGGAGTTTTAGGGTAACTGATTAAACGCCATGTCGAACTTTCGCGAAAACACGGAGAACGACAAAATTGGACTTTTAGAAAAGAAAGAAAAGTAAAACATCGGTGTACATGAAAATGACCGCAAGTTTGGAAGAACACTTAAAACTTACAGCGATTTCTCCTAAGCGGCAATGATTTGATGAAAGCAATCTAACTTTTCAAAAATAATACTCTGAACAAATCTGATAAAAAATATAGAGATGATGTTTGTAAATAATTAAAAAAACTAATAACAGATGCCTTCGATATTACCCCTCCTTTATATTTTGATTAACTAAACAAAGAAGAGAAGAAGAAAAAAGGAATGTACATGGTTAAACATCAGTACTCACTTTCGAAATAGTGTTTACTTCATCTGTAAGCATCTGTAAGGCATTGTATCTTTTCTTACTAATAATTGAATATCATTCAGTTCTAACTGAAGAACTGACTAGGGGATGACACAACATATTTCAAAATTTCAAATAATCATATCATATTCATTCAACAATCATATTATTCTTTGCTATGTCACAAGCCCATGCAAACACGTACAGTTCACAGTATAAATGAACGGGTAACATAAGAGCATTAAATGTATTCATATATGACATATCATAGTATTTTTATTAATATACAAAGTTCTTAAATGACCATATAAAGGACATACTAACTGAAATTGTACACCATTATTAATTCCAAAATGAATTTCGCTTCTAATGATATAACGTTTGTGGGAATGCTATGAAAATATGGGAGTATATCTATCTTGAAAAGCTTGTTAATATGTCAACTTTAAGGAATGAACTTCGTTGTTAAAAGTAAAAAAGTAATTATAAACATATTGTTAGATTAAAGTGGCTTTATTGCTTTAAGGGGCGTAAAATTGAAAGGTTACATTTTTTAGATAAACGATAATTTTAGAAATATGTTAAACATAACAAACAATAGAATGAAGAATAATATTTCTGTTGGAGAATTTTTTGAATAATTTCAGTCTTTTGGAAACGACATTTTTCAGTCAACAAACGATGAATCTGAAGATTTAGAATCAATGTATGATTAGAATAATATTGATCATGGAGATGAAATATTGGGTAGATATTTTACTATTGCATCTGCTGTTAAAACATTGAAAAGGAATAAATCTCCTGGGAATGATTGTCTTTGAAATAAAAACTTCATTGAATGATTAGGTATTTATATTTGCGACACCTCTAATTGTATATGAGACAGTGTTTTTCCTGAGAGTTGTGTATAAAAAGCTTGTTATCTCATGCACAATTTGGTTTCCGGAAAGAAAATCCTAATGTAGATGCCCCTTTATTTCATTGTCTGGTGTTCAAAAATACTTAAATAAGAATTAACGTTTGTACTGTATGTTTTTTTTAAAAAGACCTTTGATAGTATTACAGGAATGTTTGGTGGCTGATTTGTGTCATTCGTGTTTTCGTCCTGCGCCCCCGCCATTTTAACTTGTTAATTCTCACCTTTTCGCTTTGCGGGGTTGCGGGACGAAAACACGCTAATAAGCGGGGTCGCGGGGCAAAGCTTTTTTAATTAAAATTCGCCCGCGCCCCGCCATCTTATTTCTAAAATTTCGCTTCGTTCCCCACTAATTAGCGTGTTTTCGCTGCACGCCCCAGCAACTTTAACTTGTTAATTCTAAAATTTTCACTTCGCGGGGTCGCGTGGCGAAAACACGAATGACACAAATCAGCCACCATAGAAATGCCCTATGTTTCAAATTATATGATATTGGTATTAGAGGTAAATTGCTTGGTATCGTTAGAGATATTTATTATTATGGTTAAATCTTATATAAAACGGTGTAATTATATTTATTCTGATTTCTTTTAAAATACCTCTGTTAAGGGGAGGTAATTTTACCGATGATATTTTCACTGTTTAGTGATGATTGTTGCGTCGTTACATGTCGAAACGACGCTAAATGTCGCAATAGCCGCTAAATGTCTCGAAATATTTTGCCGATAAATGTCGCAATAATGACGCTAAATATCGCAATATTTTCCTTTACCATTAAATGTCACAATACTACCATTAAATGTCGCAATAAATAGTTTCATGTTAATGAACTGGTATTACGTCAATATTAACGTTATGTAAGTGAAAGGAATTGCTGTGATGTACAAAACAATTAATTAAAATTGAAGTCATCTAAACCGGTGTTATAAATTGAGCTCCTTGGTGATAAAACACATTTTTATAATTTTACCTTTACACAGCTGAAACCAAAATGAATTTACCAGTATAAAGATACATGTAAACCAGAGTGCACATCCTTGCAGACTGAACCTACTATGTACTAATGGCTGACTATCTTTGAGAAAGTATATCTCCCATATTTAATGCATATTAAACGTTTTTGAAACGTTCATGTTTTACAAACATATAATAATTTTTTTATGCATAGACTAAAAAGTAGTAAAAATTGTAAACTTTCAAGAAAATTATATATGACGTCTTTTAAAATGTGATAGCAAACCTTAAAGGACGAAATCTGTTCCCCCGCTTAGTTTGCTTTTCTGTTTTTGTATATAAACCAATTCAAGACACATTTGTGCAAATAAGCCTCCATATAGATAAGGGATTGACATATTTTTAAGTGTGCCCTTTAATAAAAAGGCGGACACGTCTTTGTCCCTTTCTCGTGAGAGAAGGGGAATCCTGTGGGGCGTGTATGTTGTCGCACGGTTACTTTCCTTACAACATGTCCTCGATGCATGTATATGGTTGCATGGTCGGAAATCTCTAAAACAATGACAACGTTCTCAGAAGTGTTATGGTACGGAAACGTGTAGTGCAAATTCTTAATGTTCTCAAAAAAGCAGTTTAACTCGTAAAATCTTAAACAGAACTTCCGTTTATGAGTTTAATACTCCTAAATAGGAGAGATAAAAAATGAATTAGAACTTTGTTACTCCCATTAACACCTTGTTAGGACATTTCACTCATAATAAACTAAATTCATTTAAAAGAAGTAAAATCCTAATAAGGACTTTGTAAGCAAAAAAGCCTGAATATAAAATAAAATCTAATTTGAACTTTGTAACTTCTGATCAGGCTTTTATACAAAGATCAAATCAGAATTATTTTTCTCCTAATAAGTTTTATAAATATTCTTACAAGGACTTGTAAATTCCTGATAAGTCTTTTGAATTTCAAATGTCACACCAATAAAATAAGGTCTATAGTGATTTTCCAGCTTTTTTCCAGCTTTATTGTTTGGTAAATGAAGACCTCTGGTGCACTTCTGTGCACGAACGAGAACCTGAGTAGAATCTGATGTTCGTGAGCTAGCTGGATAGCCTCCTCACATGAAACAATCCTGATGATCGAACCAACATCAGTATAAGTACGCTAAGCATTATACTTCAAAGATCAGTATTATATTCACCTAACATGTAGCGTAGTTGCATAATAAACTTGATTTAAGTGATTGGGTCTATGATGGAAAATATGCATTACGATAAAAATTCATGTTGATAGTATTAAGAACCATGTGCATTAACAAACCATAAAAAGGTTATATATGGATGTTGAACATAAAATGTTCTGGAATAAAATATTAATTTAGTAATTCATCATATAAATGGCATATTAAATCATGTAGAACTCGATAAACATTTCTTTTTCAAGAAATATTTTGTAATAATATCCAAATGATACGTTTCTATTGTTGTTTATCAATATTTAAAGTATTTCTTGAAATGTGCCCATTGTAGACAAACCCACTTTACAGTCCACTTTAAAAATCGTTAATGTTGAGTCGGCAGATAGATCGGGATATTCCTTCATGTCCTAAAGTTAGTAAATATATTAAAAACATTTACTTTATGTTATATAGAGGTTAATACGTAGTTGCTGCTCGCCATTATGCGATAACGTCCCAAGATGTAATTAAAGGTCTGAGCGCCCGAAATACGTTATGTCTTCTAGGACCATTATTGCGAAGCAGTAACCAAGTATTAATGCTTTTACACCTATCCTGGAGGTACGGCGTTTAGACATCGCCGCTTATCCTAGATATTTTTTGGCTTGGGTTATATTTCCAAAAAAAAGTTTTTATAGAGCCATATTTCCTGTCAGACATCTTTATACACGGCTGCTGTAAGTTTATTAAGAAATCTTATTATATGATCTAAATATAGCTACAATCTCATCGGTCCAAACAGTAGTCAACAGAACTTTTTATAAAATCATATTCACTTGGTGTAGTATCATATTTACTGGCTAAATTGGATTTTCCCAGTCTAAAAAAAGATTGAGATTCATATTCAATGACCATACACCGTAGACTGTAAATTACGCCTGTTAATTAAAATATAATTGTTGCATTTTGTTCTTTATGGCCTATTTCTCGATTAAAATATCATTACTTTACTAGTTTACTTAACCCATTAATTCATGAGCATTTTGTGAAAAATGGCTGTTTTCATCTAAAAGTCTCCCGTTACAAGTTCAAATTGCTACAAAACTAGAAAAACTGCTTCAATACTAATCAAACTTGGCACAAGTGTTGAATGGACCATTGCCTTTGCAACAACATGCTCAGGCTTAAATTTCCTGTTACCATTGCAACGAGGGGATATCTCAAAATTGCCAAAAATCACTATTTTGCGTTGATTTTTTCCATCAAAATTGACTTCAAAGTGCTGCAACTTCTCCATGGATTGAGATAGAGTCAAATGCTTTTCAGCGTTGGT